ACTCAATTTGCACTATTTCTGGCAGTCTGCAACCCCCCCAAGACAATGAAATACATTCCTAACTATAAAAGCAACACAAATAAAAGCAACAAATTATTTTTTGAAAACACTGCTAGGTGTAATGGCAGCAAATTATTTTTAAAAACACAACTTCCCAAGCTTTGATTTCTCAACTTGAAACCATCAGTGATACCCAAAGATGTGGAATGGACAGAGGCACAGACAGGTATATTCTTCATGGCCTCAGAATATGGCTAGGAGATCAATTCTATTAACTCAGTCCTTTTCCAGTTCCATGCTGGGGAAAAACATTTCTAGAATGATGAAGAAAAGCATTTGGATGGAAATCTGTTGGTATCCCAAACCTGAGTAAGTTCCTTTCTGCATGCAGGTCTACCATTTCACATGGTGCTAAATTCTGTCTTAGTCTTGTCTGGAGCAGAGCTATTGACTTAATTTAACTTACCTACATATTGACTCACCATGGCACAGCTGAATGAATGGCCGTGAAAGGATTCAAGCCCTGATCTCCCAGAGTCCTAGTCCAACACACAGATCATGGCAGCTCTACTGTCATTTTGTCTCTCTCTCCCACAGCTACACCCTGACCACAAATTCAATATCCTAACCACTGCACCACACTCTCCTCATTTTACACTGGTTGTAGTTTGACTTTTACTGTTGTGGATAGATGAGGTATAGCTAGGAATTAATATAGTCCTGGGGTGCATTTACACTGTAAAAATAATGCAGTTTGATATCACTTTAAGTGCTGTAGCTCCATCCTATGGAATCCTGTGATTTGTAATTTTACAAAGTATTTATTCTTTTCTGCCACAGAGTGCTGGTGCTTCACAAGACTACAAATCCCAGGATTCTGTAGGATGGAGCCAGTTAAAGTGGTATCCAAGGTGCTTTATTTCTAAAGTGTGGATGCATCCTCAGTTTATACAACTTCTAATTTTCCAAGATGAGCCCATCTGATTATCCACATACGCTTTCCAAAATGAGAAGAGAATGTGTCTGTCTCATGGTGTGTGCATAGAAATCCAAACCCCAGTGGCACAGTTGTTGGTAAATACATAAGTAAAAGGATTAAGTGTTTACCATTCAAGTTTTATTGTGTGCCCTGACTGGTTTAGTTTCCTACCAGTGTTTAGCAGAATGTAGTCTGATGATTCAATACACTTAATCATTTAATAGAATGTCTCAGCCTTTGAATTGAGGCTCGGAAAAAAAAGAACACTTGAAATGTGTTGATGTAATTAGTCAAGCCATTATAAAACAAATCCTTCATAATCCTAGGGCATGCAGTGAGTGAGGAATGGGATTCGTTGGTCTACGTGCCTCCTGAAACAGAGCTAATTTGCTATGGTTACATTAATTGGACTTCGCCATGTAATGCAATCCAATGTTACAAGAGTGATGTTAACTTTTTAAAGTACTACAATTAATTTTCAGTAGAAGAAAACCCTATGAAATCCATGGGGTCACCATAAGTCAACAGGTGAACTGAAGGCACGTGCAAACATGCAAACACACACACACAAGAACAAACAAAGAGCAAGAAGATTTACAAATATGAAGAATATGTTGGAACGGGAAAGTATGAAATCTTTAAAAGAGCAGAATAGTTTGGAATGAGAACCCATGTGGTGTCATGGCTAGAGTGTTGGGACTTTGAAGAATTCTGGGCTGGAATCCTTTTGGTATTTTATACATGGATAAATCCCTCTAGAGAAACAGATTTTTGTCTTATGTAGAATGTCCACATTCAGTTCAAGGATGCACAAACAGGGTTGCATGCCATTGTGCATGCAGATGAGCACTAAACACATGGACTAACTGTGTATTGTTCATGGATTCACATGTACATTTTATTGCACATTTGCACATTTGGTGTCTTGGTTCAATTGTGCAACATTGCCATACAGCACTATAGTTAAATGGCACAATTAGGTCTCAATCCTCTTGTCAATCCTGACTTGAGTAAGTCCATTAAATCAATGGGATTATCCATGTGTTGACTCACCAATCAACAATTGATTGAGTGGGTTTACTCTAGTTGGAAGTAATCAACAGGATGCCAGCTTTAATGTGTAATTCTATGGTCAGTGTTGTATAGTGGTTTGATTAGGACTAGGACTCTGGGAAGCCAGGTTCGAAACCTCATTCATCCATGAAAACCCACTGGGTATCCTTGGACAAGTCATTCTCTCTCTCTCTGCTTTAGAGGATGACAAACCTCTGGATAAATCTTGCCAAGAAATCCTAGGATAGAGACTCCGTATGTCAGAATTAATTTGAACAGGCATAACAACAAGACAATCAGAATGTAGGATCTCAGCCCTAATCTCCACTGCATCATGAAACTCACTGATTGAACACTGATTTTACAACATACAGGGTAGTTGTGAAGATAAAGTATAAGGAAAAGAGCCTGGATGCTGTCATGAGCTCACTGAAGGAAAGGCAGGATATAAATAAATATAAATGAATGTGAGGGAGAACAGAATTTTGTAACAAACAAGAAAAAAGAAAAGGTATTGCACTACCTTAGGGATATTTCTGGGATGTGGCTTTGAACTTCACATACAAAGATAAAAGGAACCCTTCTGGATCATTTTGAGGTGCAATCCATTTACTATTCTGTTCAGATGCTTTGGTGAAGATCTGCACAAAAGATAGATAAGGATTTCATTTTAGATCTTTCTGGATCACCAGGGGTTTCTCAGCAAGAACAAAGCACTCTCCTAACCTCTAAACCAGGTTGTTTAGAATCTCTGATCCATATTAACTCAGATGTATGTTAGTATTTACATGCACATATATGGTGAGAATAAGCATGGTACAATGGCTTGAGCCATTTGGGAGTCCAGGCTTCAAATTCTCATTCAGCTGTGGCAAGCCATTGGGTGACTTTGGGCAAGTTACACTCTCCCAGCCTCAGAGAAAGACAATGGCAAACCTCCTCTGAGCAAATCATGCCAAGAAAACGCTAGGGTAGGGTTTTCATAATAAGCTGGAGTTGACTTGAAAACACATAAACAAATTAAGATGCTTAAGATCCTGGCTAACATGGTATGGTGCATGCTACTTCTTGAAAAACTGACATTTAAATTAAGGTCATTACATGATGAAAATCAGTATGACAACTTTGTTTCATTTTGGTATCAATTTATTGTGCTTGAATATGAAGAATCATCTCCTTGTTGTTCAGAACAAAATCAGATGAAGTTTTGGAGAAATTCATTTTAGTGGATATAGAATTGTCAATATATTGACTTTGGAGCCCAAGAAGTTATATCAACGTGTTGATCCTGCAGCAGAGACAATAATAGTAATATATATATTTTTTTTAGAAAAAAAAGAGAGATGGGAAGAGAAGACAGCAAAATCCATTAAAATGGATTATTCTTAACAGTTTTGTATAAGAACGTACCTACATGAGTATTGATCCATAGCCTATATCCCATGAACCAACCAACACTGGGATGACCTCTGTTGTTGTTTTAATTTTATTTTAACATTTTAATAACTATACAAGAACAATAACAGATGCAGGTCAAACCAGTGTTGGCTGTTTCATGGGATGTAGCAGGGGATGGAGTCCATCCCAAAGCCAAGAGTTTTTTTATTTGACTCTACCCCTACTTCCCAAACTTATAATTTTGTTCTTGGCTCCCACTAATAAGTGTTGGGGTTCTGGTTAAAAAACAACACCCAACCAAAATTAGATTCTAGGAATTTGAAATCATTCCACACATTTGATTTGGTGACCTGTACCAGATGGCAGTGGCCCCCACATATGCAAAATACTTTGCTTACTTGCAGGCCCAGTTGCTGCAGGCTTTCCAAAGATTTCTTTGTTTTTTGTTATAGTCTCTTAAAGAGACTTTTACAGGATAGCTGTAACAACAACAAACTTCTTGATTGATAATGTTGCCATAAATTCTAGGTTGAATTTCCCTTCTTTTTCCCCTTTTCTAATATTACATGTAACAGTCTAACCCATAGTAAACATTACTATAGGTAGTAAAGCATAACTCTTCAATGCAGTATTATTACCCTAAAGTAGTCCAGTCCATTGTTATTTATTTACCTATTTATTCAATTTATATCCTGCCTTTTTTCCAATTTGGGATTCAAGGCGGCATACAGTAGTTAAAACAAACATAGTTAAAAAATTACCAGTATACAAAATTTAGAAAGAAATTGAACCATCCTATATGTTTATTGCTCATATATTTTAGCCATTAATATTAGGGGTTCTAACATGCATGGAAGGGACTCTTTCATACTGCACAGTTATAGCACTATGATTCAACCATAAGTGTCCTGGATGCATCCTATGGAATGGGATTTGCAGTTTAGGAGGAGGTGTGAGCCAGCATGGCATAGTGGTTTGAGTGTTGGACACAAGTCTGGAGACCTGGGTTCGATTCCCAGCTTGGCCATGAAATTTTCTGGGTGACTCTCAGCCTCAGGGGAAGGCAATGGCAAACCTCCTCTGAACAAATCTTGTCAAGAAACCCGATGATAGAGTCACCATAAGTTGGAAATGATTTGAAGGCACACAACACACACACACGCACACACACTTTGAATACCCTTCCAAAGAGGTCTAGTGTGTCTGCAGATTTCAAACCCTACGATTCCATAAAATGTGTGGCATTGTCATTGTGCAATGTGGAAGTCCCTTGTGGCATTGGAAGTCTGTTTTCCACCCTGTGCTTTTATCATTCCTTCAGTCTCTGAAAGGTCATTTCATTAGTGCTGGCACTGAAAAGCTAGAAACCACAAAACCACAGTCCTAGAGGGCTTCAAAATGGGATTAGACAAATTACACAATGGACAGTTGTATTGATATCTGTGGCTCATAATGGAACAGAGGTGGTATCTCTTTGAGTAGTAGACACTGTAGCACATGAGTGAGCCAAGTGTAGCCAAGTGTAGTTGCATGTGGTTCCTAAGTTAGGATTTATGGCCCCCAGCTCCCTTGAAGTACCTTTTTTCCTGCCAAAAAAGATCGAATGGTGAGGAATGCTAGAAATGCTGGAAGTTGCAGTTCAACAACATCTGGATGGCATATTAAATTCATATTAATCCCACCCCTGATTTAAGATCTTTATTGACTTTTAATAAACAGACATTCAAAGGGAAAGTGAACAGTTGATGGAAGGGCATAAAAGGGGGGGGGGGGAAGATACAAATGAGTGAGAAAAATGAACTGAACAGGTGGCAAGATGAGATCCCATACTATAAGATAGCCTTTCCCAAGCAGACAATTTCCACATGCACTGGCCTCCCACCATCCCAATGAAACAATTGTATTATGGGCTTTGTAGTCCATCTGAAAAATAAGACACATTAGGGAAAGTGAACTTTCAAAAAGGATAAATAGTAGCTTGGAACCAGAACACTGGGCTAGATAGAACTTTGGTATGAAGCAAACAGAACCCTTTGTAAACTCATAAAATCAATTTTTATTTCTTTGTTTATTTGATTTCTATCCCACCTTTCTCCCAGTTTAGGGCCCAACATAGTTTTTAGTGTAGCCCAGAATAAAAATAGCTAAAACAGTATGTGGTACATAAGTTTTTAAAAGCATTAATCAGTCCAATTAAATTATATAAATTGTTGTTATTGTGTGCATTCAAGTAGTTTATGATGACCTTAAGGCTTACCTTGAGGTTTTTGGTATTGCCAATGCCTTCCATCAAGAGTGTGACTTGCCTAAGGTTATCCAGTGGATTTCCATGGACTAGCAGGGATTTGAACGCTGGCCTCCAGAATCCTAGTCCAACCCCCAAACCATTATATCACATTGGCTCTCCATAACATAAATGTTTATATTTATATCTTACATTACACAGAAATAAAACTCTAGCACATCTGTTGCACATCCTTCTGTGTTGTGTATGTTGTGTGCCTTCAAGTCATTTCCAGCTAATGGTGACCTTAAGGTGACCGTATCATGGGGTTTTCTTGTCAAGTTTTGTTTAGAGGTGGTTTACCATTGCCTTCTCCTGAGGCCAAGAATGTGTGACTTGCTCAAGGTCACCAGTGGGTTTCATGGCTGAGCTGGGAATTGAACACTGGTCTCCAGAATCCCATTCTAACACCCAAACCACTACACTATCCTTTTACCATAATCAATTTAAGGTTGAAGGTCTATTTGACTGAGAAGATCTTAGCTGGTGAAAAGAAAGCAGAGAGGGGGCCAGTTGAGTCTCCCTTGGGAGGGAATTCCATAACCAAGGAACAACTATTGCAAAGGTCATCTCCTATGTCATCACCAGACAAGCTTGGGAGGGTGGTGGGCCAAAGAGAAAGCCCTTTCCTGAAGTTTGTTAAGGCTCAGGCAGACTCCTATGGGGAGATCCAGGCTTTTAGACAACCTGAACCTAAGCTGTATAGGGCTTTATAGGTCTTAAGTAGCACTCTGAATTGTGACCGGAAACACAATGCATTAGTAGCCCTGTCTTCTTTGACAACTAGTGCTCAGGAAAAGAAAACACACTGCAGTAAACACAAGAGGTTTATTGACCCTAGCAGCATTGCCAGCATTTCATCGGTCTGCTCTGTTTGCTTTTTTGGATTGCAAGTAGCCCAGGCCCAAATTACAGGTTCATATTTAGTGGCAGTAAAAGTTTCATTTTGTTCAGTAAATTAAAAAAGAAACAAATATATATTGTTCTCCTGAATGCAACACCACCACCACCTTTAAATGGTGCGGTGGAATTGATAAGCTCTTCATTATTCTAAAGACACGGAAGTATGCCTTCATTTTATTTCATAGTGTTATTATTATTTGCTGGGAATTGTTTCATTCCATGTAATACATTATCCCAGCATTTGCATTGGTTTTTACAGCCGGCATAGGTCACTTCTGAAATACTGTGATGTTGACAGGTTTATAATTCTGCTGACATGGGTTGGCAGATAGATGAGCTTCTCCCATAGCAAAGAGACATAAATTTCATTGCATAAATAGAACCAGGTCTGTTAGTGCAATTGTCAGAAGAGAAAAGTGAACTGGAGAAAATAACTGGGGCATTCCATCCTTTAAATTAAAACTCATTGAAAAAAATAAATAAGCAGAATTCTTTAACCCTTGACGTTGCTGCATCTGCAGTTGAATCTGTTCGCATGCTGTTAGGAATAGAGAGAGCTTGAAAAAGTTGTTTTGTAGGTGGATTTGTTGTTGTACTGCGACTTCAAATCATCTGACTTATGGTGACCTTAAGGTGAACCTAAAGGTAAAGGTAAAGGTATTCCCCATTGACAAGGTTCAACCATAGGGGGTGATGCTCATCTCCATTTCTAAGCCAAAGAGCCAGTGTTGTCAGAGACTACTCTGTCATCATGTGGCCAGCATGACTGCACAGAAGACTGTTTACCTTCTCACCAAAGTGGTACCTATTTATCTACTTACATTTGCATGCTTTTGAACTGCTAGGTTGGAAGAAGTGGGACTAGTGACAGGAGCTCAGCCTATCATGCAGTATCTGGGCCTCGAACTGCCAACCAGGTGATCTTACAATCAACAGAGTCAGCATCTTAACCACTTGAGCTACTGCATCCCTTAAGGTGAACTTACCATGGGGGGTTTCTTGGCAAGATTGTTCAGAGGAGGTTTGCCATTTCCATCCCCTGAAGCTGAGAGCATATGACTTGCCCAAGGTCACCAAGTGTGTTTTCATGGCTGAGCTGGGATTCAAACCCTGTTCTCCACAACTGTAGTCCAACACTCAAGCCACTACACCATGCTGGCTCTAATCACCTAGACAGTGGGTGGCCATGCTGTTTTGGAAATTTTGGACACTGACATCCAAAATGTGACTTTCCAAACTCTGGGACTAGGCTGTGGGCAGCAGTCTGGAATAAGCCAGGAACAGGGAAAACAAGGCAGAGAGCCATTTAACAAACCAGGGGCCCTTTGATGATACATAAGTATAGTACTTCAATTGTGCTATGACACAAATATGCTGCTATAAATATTAAGAACAACTTCTTTACTTTAAGAGCTGTTTGTCGGTTAAATGGGGAGACTCAGAGGGTGGTGGAGCCTCCTTTTCTAGGGATTTTTAAACAGAGGTTTGATGGGCATATTTCAAAAGTTTTTTAGTTGTGTGTTCCTTCATGGAAAGGGGTTGGACTAGATAAACCTTTTGGTCCCTTCCAGCTTTATGATTCTGTGATTTCACTTTAATTATCATGGCTGCATCCTGGCATTTATATTTTGGTGAGACACTGAAGCTCTCTGGTGGAGAATTCTAAATATCTCACCCTGAACTACTAATTGTAGGATTCCTTAGGATGTTGACATGGTAGTTAAAATGGAATTAAAATTGGCCCTTAGTATCCACTGGGGTTTGGTTCCAGGACCCTCCATGGATGTCAAAATCCATAGATGCTCAAATCCCATCACATGGATAGCAAAATGGTGCCTGATATAGAAAATGGCAAAATCAAGGTTTGGTTTTTGGAATTTATATATTTTTTTGAATATTTTCAAGCTGTGGATGCTTGAATCTATGGATATAGAGGGTCAACTGTACAATGTCTGTAATTGTGTAGTGTGAAAAGGCCCTTACTGACCAGATGAATAAAAAAGTGAGATTGAAGAATAACCAAGAGTAGATGAAGATCTAGTTGGTCAAACAAGGCTCAGACAGAGGATGAAGCCCATTTATATTAATTCCTGTTCTAGAGTATCCAATGGCCACCCTGGTTAAGGGGAGTCAGGCCAGAGCCTGAAGGTATTTCATTGAAAAGCTTCCACTTGCTTTGGAGAAACCCATTTTAACAGACAAGCAGTTGTCAAAGTAATATTGAAGATACTTCAAAGTGTCAATTCAGCAACAAAGACGTAAGGAGAGAATAGAAAAGAAAAAGGACAAGAGAAGACGACAACCTATATTATAGACTTTGTATTAAGCCTATCTACATGAATCTTGATGCATAGCCTTTTGCTATTGTTACATTTTAAAAAAAATAAAGTAAATACAAAGATTCCAGAATACCAGCCAGCTGCTGTGTTCCTTGTGTACAGTTCTCTTGGGCTCATGTGCTTCCCCCATTCTTGCATGTGAGATTTTTAATGTGAAGTGGCGCTTATGTCCATACATTCTAGACAACTTACCTGAACTAATGTGGTTTGAGCTTTGAATACTGGAAGACCAGGGTTTGAACTTCACTTGCCCATGGAAACTGACTTGGTGACCTTAGGTAGTTCACACTCTCTCAGCCTTAGAGGAAGTCAAAGTCACCCCTCCTCTGAACAAATCTTGCCAAGAAACCCCTGTGATTGGGTTGTCTTAGGGTCGCCATAGTAAGAAACAACTTGAAGGCACACAACAACAACAACAACAAAGCCCCTGCTTATTTGTAGCTGACAGCTAGAGCCTTATCTCCAAAATAATATCAGAACCTTGGATATCATTTTTAAAA